GGCGCCTGCAATTTGGTTGCAACTCTCTTGCAACTGTTGCAAGTCACAGCGACCACAGCAGCCCCCCCCCCAAACTCTTGCCACTTCGGGCCGCACGCGCCTCCAGCATTGGGGGTGGGCCAGGAGCTTCCGATCGAGGATGGCATCGATGAGTGTGTGTGTGTGTGTGTGTGTGTGTGGGCGTCCCCGCCCCCCCCCCGGTGATGCCCGCGGGAGCACGCAGACCGCCCAAGCGCCCCTGAGGGCCGTGTGCCTCCAGAGACCCCGGTGGCTTTCGGGGAGGATTGGCTCGGTGGGAGGGGTGGGGGGAAGTCGTCGGCCCTCTGGTCAAATCGCCCGCTCGTTTCCGATATTTGGGGGGAGGGTCTTGGGTGCCCCACCTCTGCCCGGGAGCGCGCGGCTTCGACTCCTGGGGGCCTGTCGCCGACCGGACGGCGACGAGTCGCCAATGGCAGGCGCGAGCGCCTTCGGTTCCCGCGGCTCCCCTCGGTGGTGGGGGCGGCGAGGCAGCGGCGGTCAGACTCACGGTCGTCACCTCCAGCGTCGCCGTCCTTACGGCGACGTGATGGTCCCTTGGTTTTGTGGCTCGAGTCTTTTTTGAAGTGGGACTAACATGCAACCAGAGACATTCATTCTACCATCGGTCTCGCCGTTATCTCGGGCGCTGTCGCTCAGCCAGTCGCCATGGACATTTCTCTGGAATATTCGATAGTTCTCTGGGCGAGCATCGTGCTCATGATGCTTCTACCTGGAGCTTACGCACTCCAAACGCTCGTGACTCGGCTGAGCGGCCTCTACCTCCGTCGGATCGAGACGGCCTCCAGGCTTGAGGTTTTCAGGAAGCTCTGCCCGCTGACGAAGTTAGAAGACTGCATGGCACACTCGTCTGAGGAATGCTCGATATGCATGGGCGAGATCACTTCCGATGCCGCTGGTGGCGAGTCTCTGCGCCAGCTGCCATGCTGTCACGTGTTCCACTCAAGTTGTGTTGACGTTTGGATCGCCGCGGGTAAGCCGTGTCCGATGTGTCGCAAGTGCCCTCTTGCTTTTGATATTGCAGAGGCTGCTGTGACAGCTGTGTAAGCATTCGGCGATCTGCTCGAGCTCTGACATCGAAAGTCCATAGGGTACAGCGGTGGACTGGAAGCGTGATGTCAGACGGGGGGGCGTCTCCAACCCACCAAGTCTCCCCAACCCAACCCGAAGGCTTCAATCTGCCCTCCATTTCCAGTTGGGGAGGGGGGTCGTCTCGTTGGGCCCCCTAGGTTTAAGTCGGGCCTGTCCCTCTACAGGAGGGAAATGCCAACACAGCCAAAAAAGAGTGAGTGGACGTTTTCTGGACTCTTTTTGCGCATTTCTGGCATACGTTTTGAGCATCTTTAGTTTTTCGCCCCTGATCCCCCTGTAGGGGGACAGGCCCGACCTAACCCTGATGTCTTTGGCCCTCCTGACTTAGGTCCCGTCCCAAAGGTAGGGGGCCACATGCGAACCCTACCCCTACCCCCCACGATTCCTGAGGGGGAGCGTGGGGTTCGCATGTGGCCCCCTACCCCCCCTCGCTCTCAGGGTGCCGCTCCGCCCAGCGTGCCGCGGTGGCTTAGCTTGCCGGCCCGGATGAGTAGGCCGACCCTGCCAGCTCAACGGTACCCTCGGTGTCCTGTGCCTTGTGGCGCGTGCCTTCTGACTCTCCTGTGGCGACGTGGCCCTCGGGAGGGTCTCGTGTCCTCTCGCGAGTCCTGCCCAATCAAGGCCGACTGTAGCTTGCTGGGGATCGGCATCGCTCCCCCTGGGAGGGTACGACTCGGCGTCTTCTGGGACAGCGTGGGTGGGGACACTTGGTGAGTTGGACTAGCGCGAGAGCACGTTCCAGGTTCCGCGTCATCTTGACACAGTTGTTCTTATCCCTTCTATCTCCAGACAAGGTCTGCGAGCACCAGTCTCGGCCGCGTGGTGGTCACATAAGGGGACCAGACCTGTTTTTTTACCGCGTTGCGGATGGGCGCGCCCGAGTGTGCGACCATAGGGGCATCGACCAGCTTTGCCCCATCGGCAAAAGCCAGGGATAACGAAGGCCTCACGGCGCGTGCCGCCGACCCCGAAGGACGACGACGAGGACGAAGATGACGACCATGACGACGACCACGACGACAAGGGCAACGACGAGCTGATGACCATGCAACATGCTCGGGACATGGGGCGGACGATGGTGGCTTGTTGCAGTCGGCATCGCTCCCCTGGGAGGGTATGACTCGGCGTCTTCTGGGACAACGTGGGGGGACAGTTGTGAGTTGGACTAGCGCGAGAGCATGTTCCAGATTCCGCGTCATCTTGACACAATTGTTCTTATCCCTTCTATCTCCCGACAAGGTCTGCGAGCACCAGTCTCGGCCGCGTGGTGGTCACATAAGGGGACCAGACCTGTTTTTTTACCGCGTTGCGGATGGGCGCGCCCGAGTGTGCGACCATAGGGGCATCGACCAGCTTTGCCCCCTCGGCAAAAGCCAGGGATAACGAAGGCCTCACGGCGCGTGCCGCCGACCCCGAATGACGACGACGAGGACGAAGATGACGACCATGACGACGACCATGACGAGGACCATGACGACGACCATGACGACCACGACGACAATGGCAACGACGAGCTGATGACCATGCCACATGTTCGGGACATGGGGCGGGCGGTGGGAGGAGGAGGCGGGAGAGGCGGCGGAGAAGGAGGAGGAGGACGAGGAGTGGGAGGAGGAGGAAGAGGAGGAAAGTGGGGGAGGAGGAGGCGGAGGCGGAGGCGGAGGAGGAGGAGGAGGAGGAGGAGGAGAAGGAGGAGGAGGAGGAGGAAGAGGAGGGACGAGGAGGAGGAGGAGAGGAGGAGGAGAGAGGAGGAGGATGAGGAGGTGGAGGTAGGAGGAGGAGGAGGGGAGGAGGAGGGAGGAGGAGGAGGAGGGAGGAGGAGGAAGAGGAGGTGGAGGAGGAGGAGGAGGAGGAGGAGGAGGAGATGTAGGAGGATGAGGAGGAGGAATCATAATGCTACTACTCATCATAAGAAGACGTCGACGTATATGGATGAGGATAAAAAAGGGAGACGAGGCGGAGGAGGAGAAAGATGATTCGGTGGAGGAGGAAGACACATAACAAGAAGAAGAGGAGGAGGATAAGGATGATGATGATGATGAGGAGGAGGAGGAGGAAGAGCAGGAGACGGATACTTAGGACGGGGAGGACGAGGAGGAGGAGGCGGAGGAGGAGGAGGAGGAGGAGGAGGAGGAGTAGGATGAGGATGGGGATGATGATAATGATGATGATGCTGATGATGACGATGAAATTGATGATGAGGATGTTGATGATAATGATGCTGATGATGCTGATGCTGCTGATAATGCTGCTGATGATGCTGCTGCTGATGCTGCTTGTTGTGACGCTGCTGATCGCGATAATGATGACGATGGTGACGTTGCTGCTGATCATGATGATGACGATGCTGCTGATCATGATGATGCTGATGATACTGATGCTGATGGCGATGATGCCGCTGATGATGATGACGATGATGATGCTGATGATAATGATGCTGATGCTGCTTATGATGCTGATGATATCGACGATGCTGCTGCCGATGACGCCGATGCTGCTGATGATGCTGATGGTGCGGATGCTGCTGCTGATGATGATGCCGATGACGATGATGATGATGAGGATGTGGATGATACTGATAATACGTCTGCTGCCAATGGTGATGATGATGCCGATGATGATGATGATGCTGATGGTGATGATGGTGACGATGCGGGTGATGATGCTGCTGCTTCTGATTATGACGATGACGATGACGACGATGTTGATGCTGCTGATGATGATGGTGATGATGCTGACGAGGAGGATGCGGGGGATGAGAAGGATGATGACGAGGGCGAGGCCGAGGGCGAGGACGAGGACGATGACGAGGATGATCACGAGGAAGCTGATGATGATGCGGATGATCAAGAGGACGCTGATGATAATGACGATGATGCTGATGATGCTAATGCTGATGGTGATGCTGATGATGATGATGAGGCTGCTGATGCTGATGATGACGATGCTGATGATGATAATGATGATGCTGATGCTACTGATTATGAGGATGCTGCTGCTGATGATGCCGATGATGCTTTTGCTGCTGCTGATAATGATGTCGCCGATGATGATAATGATAATGTTGATGATGATGCTGATGAAATCGATGCTGATGTTGATGATGATGATGATGATGATGGCGATGCTGATTGTGCTGATGCTGATGATGATGATGCGGCTGTCGATTATGACGACGGTGATGATGGTGATGTCGATGATGATGCCGATTATGACGACGATGACGACGCTGGTGATGGATGATGATGGTGATGATGATGCTGATGACGATGCTGATGATAATGCTGCTGCGGCTGCTGATGATGATGATGATGATGCCGATGGTGGTAATTAGGATGATGATGATAGTGATGATGCGGCTGATGATGATGATGATGATGATGCTGATGATGATGATGATGATGATGATGATGATGATGCTCATGGTAAAGATGATGTGATGATGAGCTGTGATCCTGATAATTATGAGGATGACGATTATGACAACGATGATGATGTTGTTGGTTATGATGATGGTAATGGTGATGGTGATGCTGATACTGATGATGATGATGATGCTGATGATGATGATGATGATGATGATGATGATGATGCTGATGCCCGTTATGACGACGATGATGAAGATCGTGATGATGATGCGGATGCTGATCATGATGACGACGCTGATGGTGCTGATGATGCTGCTGCTGATGATGCTGATGACGATGATGATGCTGATGATGATGATGCTGATGATGGTAATGAGGATGATGCTGCTGATGATGATGACGATGACGATGGTGAAGATGATATTGATGATGCTGCTAATGTTGATACTGATGATGATGCTGATGATGATGACGATGATGATGCTGATGCTGATGCTGATGATTACTAGGATGAGGATGAGCATGCGCATGAGCATGAGGATGGTGATGATGAGCATGATGTTGACAAGGATGATGATGATGATGATGATGATGATGATGATGATGATGATGATGATGATGATGATGATGATGATGATGATGATGATGATGATGAGGATGAGGATGAGGAGGAGGATGAGGATGAGGATGAATGCTGCTGCTGCTGCTGATGATGATGATGATGATGATGATGATGATGATGATGATGATGATGATGATGATGACGATGATGATGATGGTGATGATGATGTGATGATGATGAGATGAAGATGATGATGATGGATGATGATGACGATGATGGATGATGATGATGACATGATGATGCTGATGATGATGATGATGATGATGATGATGATGCTGCGATGATGATGATGATGATGATGATGATGATGATGATGATGATGATGATGATGATGATGATGATGAGGGAGGAGGAGGAGGAGGAGGAGGAGGGAGGAGGAGGACGAGGGGAGGAGGACGCCGAGGTGTCCAAGGAGGAGAAAGAGAGGAGGAGAGGAGAGGAGGAGGAGACAGGAGGAGGAGGAGGAGGAGGAGGAGGAGGAGAGAGGGGAGAGGAGGAGGAGGAGGAGGAGGAGGAGGAGGAGGAGGAGGAGGAGGAGGAGGAGGAGGAGGAGGAGGAGGTAGGAGGAGGAGGAGGGCCGTCTCTTCGGGTGCGGGCGCCTGGGAGGCGAAAGCGGAAGGGGAAAGCTGGGGCCAAAGGTCAGGGCCAGGGCCAGGGCCGGGGCTGGGGCCGGGGCCTCGGGCCGCGGCCGGGGCCAGGGTTGGGGCGAGGGGCGGGGCCGCGGGCCCGGGGCCAGGGCAGGGGCTGGGGCCGAGGCAGGGGGCTAGACGTAAGAGTAACCTTTCGCCGGAGTGACCTTGGTGCGGGCATAGATGGGTCCCCAGATGGCTGAAAACGTAGCAGGAGCAGCGGCTTGCGCGCCCAGATTTGGCCCCCCCGCGGCCCCCAAAAAGCCGCGCACCAAAGGTCACTCTTACCCAGGGTCACTCTTGCGTGTAGCTGAGGGAGGAGGGTCTCGAGCTCCCGGGCGGAGGCGGGCGGGTGGGGCCGGGCGGAGGCGGGCTGCCGAGGAGGTGGCGAGCTCAATTCCACAGCCAGCACGCGCCACTTCGAACGGAAGCTCTGGGCAAGAAGACGCGCCCTGCCCGGCGGACCCACGATCATCCAGGATACGGGAGGGGGGCCGCAGATGAAAATTAGCCTGGCGAAGAACCCAACC